TCAGGGTTTGTGTCCGGGTTAGTTTTAGTGTTTGGGTTATTTTTCGTGTTAGGGTTAGGGTCAGGGTTAGCGTTAGGGTTTAGTGTTAGCGTTAGGGTTAATGCTAACACAGAGCTGCCTGCTGACGCTACGGTCTGTTGTCTGTGTTTCAGCCATCGTGCACGGCGACAGCTTCGAGGAGGTTTACCACCAGGTCAAAGGCGTCATCGAGGAGCAGAGCGGCCCCTACATCTGGGTCCCCGCCCGTGACAGACTCTGATTGGCCACTGCCAGCCATGGACGCCGTCTCCACGGGAACCGCCATCACCCCCTCCCCCTTCAGTGGCGGCACCTGACAGAGCGGCGTTTGTCTTTTTGTTCTTTTACTTTTCTTTCTATGGGACGGCAATGAGCGAGCTCATCGATTGGATAGATTCTGTTGTCATGGCGACCAAGAGACATGTTTATTGGTCAGAGGACAGATTTGTCCGTCCGACTGTCTGCGAGAGACACGATTGGCTGATTGATTATATGTTGGTTCAATAATCATGTATTATCAGTAAATAATGAATCAGAGACTGTAGAGTTCAGTTGGTATTGAAGTATTTATATTATCCTATTTATTTATTGATTTATCTATTTATTTATCGATTTATTTACTTATGTGACGTGAAAATGATGTGTGCGTGCGTGTGTGTGCGTTTGTGTGTAGTGTACATAAAGACTTGTGTGACTGTAAATACAACGATGGGGCTCAAACACACAGTCTATTCAGGGCTTAAAGTATCAAACACCCACTGGACTACTACTCCCACAATCCTCTCCTGCCTGAACATCCCAAACCCCCTTTGTCTTGACTGCAACATTCACAATCCTCTTAATTTGGACTACAACACCCTAATTTCCCATCTGCTTCAACTACAGCACCCATAATCCTCTTTAGTCAGGACTACATGACCCACAGTCCCCCTCTGCACAAAATTACTCAATACTGGGATGACAATTCTAAATTCCCCTCATGTCGACTGACCCCGACCATCTACAGCTCACACAATATTCTCCTGCTTGGACTACAACTCCCTAAACCTTTCTTTGTATGGACTACAACCTACACAACTCCTCAGTATATGGACTACAATACCCACAATCTGCCTCCACTTAAACTACAAAATCCTCCTGGACTACAGCTCCCACAATTCCCTCCTGTTACAGTTTGGACACTCTGGACTGTGTTCGCCGCTGCCGTCTTTCTGGTTGCCTAGCAACAACAGGGAGGTCAAACAAACTGAAGCACTTCCATTTTGAAGCAAAAAGTTCTGGACTACATCATCCACAGTTCTTCGCTGCGGAGAAGGACTTTATTACCCACAAACATCTACAGCACAGAAGGACTACAGTACCCACAAGTCCCAGCTAACCTCCCAGTCCTCACCACAGACCCTGGCTGTGGGTCTGGACTGCAGTACCCACGATCCTTTGGAGATCAAAGTTACCTGAATAAACAAACCTGCTGATTGCGGAGCACATCTGTGCGGCGTGGGGGCGGAGCCTCCTGTGTCTCCGTTACCCAGAGTGCCGTGGGTGTGGCTGCTTGTCCCGCTGGGTTCCTCAGACTGAACATCAGGGTTGTGTGAATAATAATAATAATTATGAAGAAGTCATCCAAATTCTGATGATGTCATGTCATCTCACAGGTCACCTGACGTCGTCTTTTGTTCGCGAGCACCGACACAAACACTTTGTGAACCAACGCATCATATCTGAGTCTTGATCAGCCTGTGACACTCCCTTCAGCTCAGACGCTGTTGGTTTGAAGACTGGCTTGTTGTATAATGAAATATTTAGTTCTAATTCAAATACTGAAATATTGAAATAAATTCCTTATAAAAGCTGAAGGTGGCGTCTGGTTCATGGGGACACAAGCTTCAGCAGCATCTTATTGTTCATCAGCGAACCGAGACAGTTTATCTGAAGGAAAACATCTGATGGGGCTGAAATAAAACGACTTATTAATGACGTCATTAGTTCATTTTAATGAATATTACTGATTATATATCAATTAAGTTACAAACTTCCTGTTTTGCACGTGTGTATCTGACAAGCTGCTGATGAATGTGAGAGCTGCATTTATGACACACACCTCAGTTCATGGACAACAAACAGCAGCCCTAACTACACTAAGCCTGACCATAACTACCCCTAACTAGCCCAGGTTAACACTAACTAAACTTAACTAATGTCAACTAACCTAAACAAACCCTTACCAACCCTAACTAACTCTAACTAATCAAAACTAACCACAACTAAAGTTAAGTAGCCCATGCTAACCTTAACTAACCCAAACTGATCCTAACTAAAAACCTTTGTCTTACCTTAACTGGAATCTTAATTAACCCTGACTAACCCGTGCTAACCCTGACTAACACTGACTAACCCGTACTAACCCTAATTAACCTGTACTAACCCGTACTAACCC